CATTGAGGGAGTTGCAACACTTGATGTATTTCAACCTTAGTTTCAATCATTTTAAAGATAGCTATATCCCTGAATTCTTTGGCTCGCTAAGTAACCTAAGGTACCTTGACCTCCAATACTGTTATTTAAGTAGTGGAAATATTCCAAGTCTACTCAAAAATATCTCATGGTTACAATATCTTGATCTCTCAAAAAATTATGCTCGAGGAAAAATACCTTATCAACTTGGAAATCTCTCAAAATTGCAACATCTTGATCTCTCATCCAATACACTTGAAGGGGTAGTGCCTTGTCAACTGGGGAATCTTTCAAGATTGCAATATCTTGATCTCTCATATAACAACCTTAGAGGAGTAATACCTTTTCAACTTGGAAACCTTTTGAACTTGCAAAAACTTTTCCTTACATATGCTGGTGCTCTCAAAATTGACCAAGAGAATGGTAGTGGAGGTGAATGGCTCTCTAGTCTCACAAATTCAACCCATCTTATGTTAGTGAACATAACTAATCTCAAATATTCTTACAAATCACTGTAAATGATTGGAGGGCTATCAAGCTTGAAAGAATTGATGCTACATGACAATGATCTTTTAGATCAATATATCCTTTCATTACCCTCTTTAAAATTTAATTCCTCTTCTCTTCACGTGATTGATCTATCAGATAACAACTTCATCATTTGCAATATTCAATTGGATCTCAAATATTAGCTCTAATCTTATTGAGTTGGACCTTGGATACAACATCTTGGAAGGTCCTAGACCACATAAATTTGGTAGTGCCATGAATTCTCTTGTGAATCTATGCCTTCCTTTAAATCATCTTAAGGGTGGGATTAAATTCTTAAGGAATATATGTACCTTATGTTCATTATCCCTAGCCCGTAACCATTTGAGTGAAGACCTTCTAACAATCATTCAGTCTCTTTCTAGATGTGCTAGATATTCTTTACAAGAGTTGAACCTACATGGCAATCAAATTAGTGGCATACTAGTTCACCTTACCACATTCACATATTTAAAGACATTTAATGTTTCTTGGAATTTGCTAAATGGGTTAATACCTAAAGATCTTCAATTTCCCTCTTCATTAGAGTCTTTGGATATTATGTCCAACTCTTTGAAAGGTCCTTTCACTAAATTTCAATTTGCTAATATGCCTAGGTTAAAAAATTTGGTCCTATCTAACAATGGACTGGCTTTGAATGTTAGCCGTAATTGGGTTCCATCATTTCAACGGCAAGCCATACATGTGAGATCTTGTAAGATAGGTCCTAGTTTTCCTAAATGGTTGCAAACTCAAATAATTTCACTGAACTTGATATCTCCAATTTCAAAATTTTAGCTCCAATTCCAGAGTGGTTCTAAGCACTGTTGACTCCAAAGCTACAATACTTGAATGTTTCATGCAATAACTTCATTGGCATAATACCAAATGTTACTATAAAATTTTTTCGTCCCCTTATATATCCATGGCCTCAAATCATTTTGAAGGTGAAATTCCATAATTTCTACATGATTATCAAGTCCTTTTTGCATCGGATAATAAATTTTTAGATGTCACCATTTTTTATGTGCAAATCGGGTAGCTTCATACATGTTCATCTTAGATATTTCTAACAATAAACTATGTAAACAACTTCTTGATTGTTGGAGTCATTTGATATTGAGAAACAATAGGTTTAGTGGAGTGCTGCCTATTACCTTAAGGAGTTGCTCAAATTTAATATTGCTAGATGCAAGGAAAAATAAGTTCTCTGAACATATACCTTTGTGGATTGGGACCGAATTAAATTGGTTGGAAATTTTAATATTGCGACATAACTATTTCTCTAGAAATTAGCCAATTCATCTTTGTTTCTTGTCAAGAATAAATTTCTTGGATCTCTCATTGAACAATTTATCAAGACAAATACTTAGATGCTTCAAAAACTTCACACCAATGGCTACTAAGAGTGTTGCATATCTTGGTGATACTTCCTTTGGAGTCAACTATGTGGAAATGTCAACTGAGACAAGTGCATTGCTGATGTAGAAAAGTATGGAATGAACCTTTATGCAAAAAATATTTTTAAAAGGCATTGATCTTTCAAGCAATTGACTATCTGGAGGAATTCCAATTGAAATAGGAATTTTAGTTTAAATGGTATCTCTAAACTTATCAAGAAATCAATATGGTGGAGAAATTCCTTTAGAGATTGGACAATTAACACCATTAAACTCTCTTGATTTATCAAGAAATCATTTCTCTGGTCCAATTCCTTCAAGCCTTTCTTAGATTGATCGCTTCTCAATGTTAGATTTGTCATAAAAACAACCTTTTTGAAAAAATTCCAATAGGCATACAATTGCAAATTTTGATAGCTCAAGATATGAAGGAAATCTTGACCTTTGTGGTAAACCGCTTGAGAAAAGATGTCTTGAGAAGAAGTATCAAGATCGAACTAAATTTAAAGGAGATGAGCATGAATCAATTCTCTCCAAGGAGTTCTAATGGAGCATGTCATTGAGATTCATCATAGAATTCTGTGGGATTTTTGGCTTAATACTTTTTAATAGATATTGGAGACATGCCTACTTTAGATTTCTAAACAATTAGACAGATACTATGGTTGTTCTAACCATGGTAAATATGACAAAGTGCAATAAGTGATTCAAAGGTTATTTGGTGATCAATCTAAGATGCATCTTTTCTCTGACCTTTCTATTCAAAGTTTATCTACATTTTAAAAAAAGAAAAGCTTTTGTTTTCCCCCTTTCATTTTGCAAGAGAGGTTAGGGTGAAGACCTCCAAGTTTACGATGAGATGCGATGCATGCTATGCTGGATATATGAATTGAACCGAATATTAAACCATGCATGTTGCAGTGCTTTTAAATATTAAATACTATATATATGTTATGTTCTGTGCCACTTGTTGTATTATTGTAGTATTACAATTATTATTTTTGTATTTGTTTTGCCGCTTTGAGTAAGTTCCTAATTAAACCGATGCATTGGAATGAATGCCAACCATTTTGAAATCCATTAGATGCTCCCTCGCTCTCTCTCTCTCTCTATATATATATGAAATATGCTCTTTTAATTTTTAATTCGTTTTCTCGAACCCTAGAATGATATAATTATATCAATTTATATGACAATATATATTACACAAAATCATAGATAATGAGCTCATTTCGTAAGTTGTGCAATGTACGTACTAGAGTAAACATTGCATTTTTCAGTTTTTGCAAATATTTGCTCGGCTTAATTCATTCTTTGAGAGTGATAACAATGAAACATAGATTTCGGCCTTTGTTATTGAGGAGCCTGGTCAAAGGGCTGCAAAAAGTTATTAGATTCTAATGCTGTAGTATTCCTAGGCCGATTTGGTTGTATATAAATATAACATTGATCGCTCAAACCATTCCAACACAAAATATCATTTCTTACAAACTTGAATGAGATAACAAGTTACTGAAAAATAAGTCCAATTATCAAACCAGAAGTTGGCTAGTTCTCTCCTGTATAAAAATTCAACTGTTAGAGTTGTTAATATTGATTGAGCCTGCAACTTGACAAATACTGGTTGGTTGGGTAAGGGAAAATGAGGCCCGCATCATACAACCCAAGCCCGGCTGTAGCGGGTTATCCCTCTTTTTTTGTTTTTTTTTTTCTTTTTTAAAGATTTGCAATCTCTTCTCACAATATAAGCAAAATATGTCTACAATAGTCATTTTATTCTCGTTGGATTGTGTTGTCGCAAATAATGGCTCTGTTGTTGCTTTTAACCATCGGTGGCCTTCGAGCATATCCCCAGTTCAGTGTTTTTTTTTTTTTTTTTTTTGGGCTTTGTGAGCAGACACGTCGCTAGGAATTTCTCTCATGATCAATTAACTACATATATGCCAAAAAAAATAACTACTTATAAATTGAATTAAAAGCTAGATACTTGAATTGATATTTGAAATTAAAATCTCTCCGTTTGCCATGATAGAAGATAATCGCACTAACTGTGGCAAAAAAAAAAAAAAAGAGATAAGATAATCGCACTAAAGGATCGAATATGGCAGGAAAAAAATTCTTCAACTATAAAAGTTAAGACCTTATTTTCGTAATTTTAAGAGTTTTAAAAATTATTTACTAATGAATCAAGTTTTTTGAGCTCCATAACTCACTGTTCCACACCAACCGTCAACTATTAAATTTAGATGCACAAAAATGCAATTTTCATAACATTTCAAGTCCCCTTCTAGAAATAAGACGAAGAAAATCAGGTGGAAAGCTTTGTTAATTATAAATGACCGTGTTGGTAATTTTTTTTTCATAATAGCGTGTCATCATGAAACATCAACTATTAACTCACCGAAAGTATTTTTAAATTTGTAATGTGTTTTTTAAGTATTTAGAAAAAATTTTATTTTTATTTGGATAATTAATTTTTTTTGAGAAATTCTCTTTGTTTTCAATAAAAAAGAGAGAAGTGTATATTTAATTTTCAAAGATAGAAAAAAAATTATATTTCCTTGCAAAGAAGTGTATTTGTAATTTTTAAAGATAGAAAATAAAAATTATATTTTCTAACGAGTTAGCCAGTTGACCCATCAATTCACTTTTAGTGAATCCATGTTGGTAAATATGCAGCCCACCAAGATGGAAATTACTCCAACTAACACCACACGACCCACGACTAATGGTGGGTTAACTCGCAAGTTGTGGTTTATTCGATTTAAATAATTAATTTAGTTTTTTTTAAAACAAAAAGTTCGGTTTTATTTGCAAAACCAAAATTATATATTTTATAAAATATTATATATATATATATAATATAATTAATTTATATTATTAATGGTTATTTTTATTTTTACTAATATTAAATTTAATAAAAGAGAGTTACGGGATAAGAAATTCAAGCACCCCAACCCAAACTTTGGCCCATTACTCGTTAGGTTTAGTAAAATGGGACCCTCACCTGACACTCATTCACTCCCTGGGTCTCCCCTATGCGGCGCACTCAAGTAGTCATCTCCCTCACTCTCCAAAGTCCGCACTCAACTCTCTCTTCTCCACTGTCTTCATCCCTTTAGCTCAAGGAGACGACTTCTCCATCTCTGTTTCTTCTTCCTGTTCGTGCCTTGGACAACACAACTCAGCAAGGTATGTCTGTTCGTGTAGCTTTTAATTTATTGTTCGTGTATCCCTGTTTGTTTGTGTCCCTCTTCTCTATTCATTTTATTCTGATCTCTACTCTTCTGGTTCAGATGTTTGCTCATGGTGAAACTGTTTAAGGAAGCTGAAGGACAACCGAAATAAGTAACCGAACTGAACCATTAAACTTCAGTTTGGTTTCAGTTCAGTTTATCGCATACTTCGGTCCGGTCCGGTATAAATTATTGCTATTTTTTGGTCTATCTGTTTCCTCAAAATATGAGCGAACCGAACCGTTGAAATCGATGCCCACTCATTCTAAACGGTGTAGTAAAAACTAATTAGACTTCTGGTTACTTTAGAGCTTGCAAAAGGTTTTTTAAAAAATTTAGAAGTTAAAACCAAACAAGTGCTAGTTACGATAATATAGAGCATTAAAGTTGAAGGAAACATGGCAGGGAAAGTGTACTAGAGGGAAATAGAAAGAAAAGATGAAACTGCCTCGGGAAATAATTTACAGGTGAGAAGATATTTTAGTCTTTTGATCCTAACATCCCTTCATTCCATTTTCTTTTTCTCCTTCCTTCAAACCAAACACAAAGTGCACACGTTGGAATAGCAAGGGAATATAGAACACCACACATGTTGGAACATGGAGCCGGCTAAAGAAAAGTTAAAATTGAAATAGCAAAGGAGTAAGTAATAAAGAAAAGAAAGAATGATAAATAAAAATTTCATAAAAAAATTAATATCAAATTAAGATCTCTTTATTATTAAAGTTTAAAATTTATTATTGTTTTTCTCGTCTTTCAATACTAGAATTTTTTTAAAAAAATTTCTCATAAAGTTCTCAGTACTTGTTCTCTCTAAAGAAAAACTCCACAATTAAACCCTTGTACCTTCCTTAGCTAATATTTATTATACATTGTTTGGGCTTAAAGTTGAAGTGCCAGCACAAAAGCAAGAAGGAGGAGTCAAACAAATGAATAATAAATTGACATAAAAGTGAGGAAGATGTCTCTATGCAACTCGTCGCAGTGTGGCCAGTGTGTGTCTTAGCAAATGGCCTTAATTTCCAGATTTTTTCCTTGCGCTTTTAATAATTTTTAGAAAAGCCCTTTTTTCCCTCCCCCCCAACTTGTATTTGGATTATTATGCCCTTGAGAATCATGTTTTTTTAAATTTAAGTGTCTTAAATTAATATTATGATTTTAATGTTTAAATTTTCTTTGATTTCAGTCTTGACATCAAGTATTTTACTATGTTTTCTTTTAAATTATTATGGTAGGAAAATTTTTGAGAAGTTGAACTCTTTTATTACCATGTAAGAAAAAATCTTTTCTACAATGGAATGCTTTCATTAAATGTTGATCTTTATCTATCATAGTAAACTCTTTTTTATCATGGTAATTAAAATTTTGAAATGGTAATTTTTATTCTTTTTATCATGGTAAGTCTTTATTTATTAGGGTAATTATTTAAAAATATACCTTACTTCTAATTACTATGGTAGACACTTTTTTACTATAGTAAATTTTTAAGTTTTGTAATAAAGTGTACCTTCATATAAATAAATATAGTGTAAAAGCTTAGGATGTTTTAGTCACAACTTAAAATTTAGGGCGTGATAGTTGCAATACTTGATCTATTTCAACCTTAGTTTCAATTATTTTGAAGATAGCAATATTCTTAAATTCTTTTGCTCTCTAAGCAACTTAAGGCACTTTGATCTCCAAGGCCATACTTTATAGAATGGAAGTATTCCAAGTTTATTCAGAAATCTCTCGAGATTGTAGCATCTTGATCTCTCAAAAAATTATGCTAGAGGAGAAATATCTTATCAACTTAGGAATATATCACAATTGCAACATCTTGATTTCTCATCCAATCAACTTATAAGGGTGATACCTTACCAACTTGGAAGTCTCTCACAATTATAGCATCTTGATCTCTTTATGGAATATTCTTGCTGGAGAAATACCTTATCAATTTGGCATCCTTTCAAACTTGCAAAAGCTTTTTTTGAGATATAGTGGTTCTCTCAAAATTGACCAAAAGAATGGCGGTGAAGGTAAGTGGTTCTTTAGTCTCACAAGTTTGACCCATCTTATGTTAGCAAACATAACCAATCTCAAATATTCTTACAATTGGCTAAAAATGATTGGAGAGTGATCAAGCTTGAAAGAATTGAAGCTATCTGACAATGATCTTTTATATTAGAATATCCTTTCATTATCCTCTTTAAAATTCAATTCCTCTTATCTTCATGTGATTGATCTATTTGACAATAACTTCACGTCATCCTCAATATGCTTAAACCTTATTGAGCTGAGTCTTAGGTCCAACATATTTGAGGGTCCCATACCACATGAATTTGTTAGCGTTATGGATTCTCTTGAGAATCTAGACCTTTCTTTTAATCATCATAGGGGTAGGCTTAAATCCTTGAGGAATATCTGTACTTATGCTCATTATCCCTAGCCTTTAACCTTTTGAGTGATGACTTTGTGACAATTCTTCAAACTCTTTTCGGATTTGCTAGATATTCTTTAAAAGAGTTAAACCTAAGGGGCAATCAAATTGGTGGCACACTAGTTATCCTTTCCACATTCACATTTTGAGATATTTGACATTTTAGAGAATTTGCTAAATGGGTCAATACCTAAATATCTTTAATTTTCCTCATCATTGGAGACTTCGAATATTCATTCCAACTTGATATTTCCAATGATGGAATTTTAGCTCCTATTCTAGAGTGGTTTTGGGCATTGTTGACACGAAAACTAAGTTACTTAAATATTTCATACAATAACTTTATTGATACAATACTAAATGTTCCCATAAGATTTTTTGCTAGCCCATATATATCTGTGGCCTCAAATCATTTTGAAGGTGAAGTTCCAATATTTTTACATAATGCATCTACCTTTTTTGCTTCAAACAATAATATTTTGATGTTCATCACTTTTTCATGTTCAACTAGGCAAACTAACATGGAGATATTAGATCTTTCTAACAATTAACTATTTTGACAGCTTCTTGATTATTGAAGTCATTTCAAATCATTAGAGGTTTTTGTACTCAAGTAATAACAATTTGTCTAGAGATCTTCTTGCTTCTATTGGTTCCCTTAAAGGTCTCCAATAGAACTCCTTGTTGCTCTCTTGACATTTCTCCACCTCTTGGAAAGGTTTGGAACAAACCTTTAAGAAAAATATACTTTTAATAGGCATTGATTTTTCAAGCAATCAATTAACATGAGGAATTCCAACTGAATTAGAAAATTTAGTTCAAATGGTATTTCTAAACTTATCAAGAAATCAATTTGGTGAAGAAATTCCTTCAAATATTGGACGACTAATATCTTTAAATTTTTTTGATTTATCAAGAAATCATTCCTCTTGTCCAATTCCTCTAAGCCTTGCTCAAATTGATCGTTTTTCAATGTTGGATTTGTTATATAACAACCTTGCTAGAAAAATTCCAATAGGCACAATTGCAAAGTTTCGATAGCTCAAGATATGAAGGAAATCTTGACCTTTGTGAAAAATCGTTTGAGAAAATGTCTCAAGGAGGAGAAATGTCAAGGGCAACTTGAATTCAAAGAAGATGGGCATGAATCTCTCTCCAAGGAGTTCTAGTGAAGCATGCCATTGGGATTTATTACAGGATTCTAAAAGATTTTTGGCTCTATACTTTTTAATTGCTCTTGGAGACATGCTTACATTAGATTTTTAAATAATTTGACAGGCACTATGGTTGTTGTAACCATGATAAATATGACTAAGTGCAACTGATAGCTCAAAGGTTACTTGGTATTCAATCATATATGCCTCTTTTCTTAATTTCCTATATCAAGGTTATCTATATTGTTTAAAAAAAATATAACTATTATTTCCCCCCTTTCATTTTGCAGGAGAGACTAGGGTGAAAACCTCCAAGTTTAGAATGGATTGGGATGCATACTATGCTGGATATATTGTTCTTTTCTGGGCTATTTGCTGTTAGAGTCGTCAATTAGGGCCGAGCTCGTAGGGCCGGCCCTTTTAGGCCCGAAAAAATTGAGGACCGGGCTTCTATTTTACCTTTAAAAAAGTAAATCGGGCCTAGGCCCTTTTATTATTTTTTTAAAAATTATAATATAAAAAAAGATTAAATATATAACTCAAAGAAATGAACATATTAAATACATTCATCCATACCTCATTTATTTATTAAGATTTAGTTGATAATATAAGCTAAGTTTAATTTTTATTGGTATTCACTTTGATATTGCTATTTGATATTAGACCTAAATGTTTTAGTTTTCTTTATTGTTGTGGTGTAAATTGATTTAAATTTATTTTCTTAAACTTAATTTTATAAATAATAACTTTTTTATGATTATAAATGTATTTTTTATAATTTTTAATTGAAAAAATAATTTTAAAAAAATAGGGCCGAGGCCTCGAGAGTTAGGGTCAGGTCTTATAAAATGAAACCTTGACATACAATCGGGTTTATTAGAGTCAGCCCGCTTAGGCTCTAGCTCTTTAAGGACCGACTTTTTAGGGTCGGATTGATTTTAATTGACAGCTCTAATAATATTGTAACTATTATTTTTGTGTTTTGTTTTGTCGTTTTGAGTGCATTTCGAGGAAGCAACTTTTTTGCTTCTCTCTCTACACACACATATATATGTGCGCTGGCGTGTAAGATTCTCTTATTATTATTATTATTTTTTAAGACAGACAAACTTCTGGAACATCCCCAATTGCAGATTCATTCAAGATATTGCATAACCCCAAAAAATTTAGAAATTACTTAATGAGGCAAAAAGGGGCAACCTTGATGAAATGAATTGTTTGATTCCTCTTGCACCATAAAATATTTGACAGAACAATGATGGATTTGCTCATCAATATCAATGTATCATTTCTTTGTTCTAAATGGAGGAGAATTTCGAAAAAACCATCATTTAATGCCTTTCTCTGGAAAATCTGTTGTCTGGATATTGAGTGCTTCAAACCAAACTACCCTGGAAAAAGGACAATCTGAGAATAAATGATGTATTGTCATAATTATTTTATATTTTTGTACAACACCAGAATGTTATCATTATATCGATATATATATATATATATATAGAGAGAGAGAGAAATCTATAAGACAAATTGAACTAACTATAAATGATAGACAATGTATAGAGCTCATTTCTTAAGTTGCGAGCATGCGTAATATGGAGAAAAAAGTTTCGGAGCAGAGTATAAATAACAAGAAGCGTTATAAACATTCCATTTCTTACTTTTTTTTATAAAGATTAACTTGGCTTAATTTCATTCTTTGAGAGTGATAATTAAGAAACAGAGATTTCGTCAATTGTGTAGTATATCCTGAATTATATTTTACTTTCGTGTAAGCCTGACCAGTTTAAAATGGTAGTCACCTGCAAATTATAGTTAATTTGTTCCCTGGCTGGGGCTATTGATTTTAGGTTGCCACGTAGCCTTATTAACAGGGCAGCCACTTCTGTGCCTAGAAATCCAATGGAAAAAGTTTTTTTTTTTTTTGGGGGAATGAAAAAGTATGTTTTTGTTACCATGATGTTGTTTGTTTGTTTGTTTTTTTTGGCAGTTATCATCATGTTGTGTATGACAATATGAGCTTTTAAAGTGGCTTTGTAATCTGACTGGCCATCAACATCCCTGTCACTTTTGGGCCGATTCGGGCAATTTGAAAAATAATGAAAATGAGACTGGCCCAGATTGAGCTACTACCTTAGGCCTTTTTTTTTTTATTTGGAGCAAAATTCTACCTTGGGTGCTTTAGTTTGATGTTTTTCATTGGACAATGAACGACTTAAAATCTTAGGTGTTAAAAAAAAAAAACACACACCCATTTATTACAAGGCAAAATGGGAGAAGTATAAAATAATTAAATATATTAATTAAAATGAAATAAAAAGAAAATGTCTAATTTAATTCATAATATTTTAAAATATATCTATTTTAAAATATTTTAATCATAACTTAATTTGATCAAGGGTAGTTTGGAAACAAATTGGTAGTTCAGAAGCAAAAGGAGTTTTTAAAATTTAAAAGTTGAAACCAAATAGATAATTGAGCATCCAGATTAAAGGAAACACGGCGGAGGAAAGACTATGGAGAAATAGAAGGAAAAGACGAAGCTGGCCCAGGAAAGAATTTGATATGTGCGTGTGTTTTCTTTTCTTCAAGAGAGTTTGATTATTACAAAGCAATTTTAAAACAAATAACAAATCAATCTTCAAAATAATCAATTATAGTCAGCTTTTTCAGTATGACATTGGGATAGATATGAATTGATTCTTCTACCAAATATTTGTTTTGTTGGCCAAAAAAATTATAATAACTTCTTTCAGTATGACCTAATGAAAGATATGATAATTGATATTCTTCTAACAATTATTTGTCTCAGTAATATACCACATATATATATATATATATATATATCATGTCCAAGCTACCTTTCTTTTCATCACTTATGTACCAATATGTAGTTATCAAGCAGAGTTATGAGGACTAAGTCACACATGCAATTAAGTATTCATGTAGAGTGTTCATCACATCATGCCTGCCGAGAAATTAATTGCTAGGAAACATTCAGAGTCTCTATTAATTAATTTTTTTTAAATCATCTTTGGTTGAATTTTCTTCTTTTCCATTTTTCTAGCTGATTGGACTAGTAATTCTTTTTTTTTTAAATAAAGCATTATATATATATATATATATATATATATATCATGTCCAAGCTACTTTTCTTTTCATCACTTACGTATCGATATAAAATTATCAAGCAGGGTTATGAGGACTAAGTCACACATGCAATTAAGTATTCATGCGGAGAGTTCATTACATCATGCGGGCCCAAAATTAATTGCTAGGAAACATTCAGAGTTTCCATTAATTAATCTTTTTTTTTAATATTCATCTTTGGTTGAATTTTCTTCTTTCCCATTTTTCTAGCTGATTGGACTAGTAATTCTTTTTTTAAAAATAAAACATTATATATATATATATATATATATATTATATGTCCAAGCTACTTTTTTTTTTCATCACTTACGTATCAATATAGAATTATCAAGCAGGGTTATGAGAATTAAGTCACATGCAATTAAGTATTCATGCAGAGAGTTCATTACATCATGCGCGCCCATAAATTAATTGCTAGGAAGCATTCAGAGTTTCTATTGATTAATATTTTTTTTAAAAAAATATTCATCTTTGGTTGAATTTTCTTCTTTCCCATTTTTCTAGCTGATTGGACTTGTAATTCTTTTTTTAAAAATAAAACATATATATATATATATATATATATATATTCATGTCCAAGCTACCTTTCTTTCCATCACTTACGTACCAATAAAGAGTTATCAAGCAGGGTCATGAGGACTAAGTCGCCCATGCAATTAAGTATTCGTGCGGAGAGTTCATTACATCATGCGGGCCCAGAAATTAATTGCTACGAAACATTCAAAATTTTTATTAATGAATCTTTTCTTTTAACATTCATCTTTGGTTGAAATTTTTTTGGTAGAATTACATTAAAATTATACATAAAAAAATTAATTATTACAAAATTTATTAATAATTAAACTAAATTGCATTGACTAAGGTTCATTGATAATTGAATTAAACTGTAATTATATAGTAATTAATTTTTTTGTGTGAAACCTGATTGTAATTCTCTCAATTTTCTTCTTTCCCATTTTTTGTTATGCTGGGGGGTTTGCGTCTAGCAACTACAATATAAAGACTAAAGAGTTAACAAGTTGAGTGAAAATAATAACTTTCTTAAATAAGCTATTTTAAATAGCTTATTAAAATACGTTTGAAATAGGGTTTTTTTTGTAAAAAAAGAAAACCAATCTAAAATGATGATTGTTTCATGTTTAACTTATCAAAATCATTTCGTAAGCATAAACAAACAAATCCTTAGTCATACGCATACCAATTTACTGTCTATCCACATGCAATTAATTATTCATACGCAGAGAGTTGATTAAAAGCAAGTGGCTGGAAATTTCTACGAATCATATGCAGAGTTGCTCCCAATCTAATTAAAATATATAGTTGTTTAAGCATAAGGTCTTGAATTCAAGTTGGTATAAATATAGAAAACATCTTTAATTGGGAGAACTATCCTTAATTGAATTACGAAAATGCTTGAATTTAATCCAATTAAAGAACAATATAAATTGTATGTGAGGAACGTTCTCAAATCCAGTGGCAAAACCTCTTGCATGGTGGGGTGTCCTCTCCCGAAAAAGAGAGAGAGAGAGACTCTACCTCTTCTCATATATGATATGGATTTCCAAATATTTAGTCCCATGAAAAACGTTAACCCCCTTCTCCTCAAGAAAGACAAAAGTGCACACTTATGTAATATTCCGTCTTATTTTACTTATATGATAGAGAATGGTTTTTAATTTTTCCTACTCGTAAGCTATGTGATTAACATTTTTATTATAATTTTTTTCTTTTATTTTTCATTAAATAATAGTGTGAGAAGTATGCTATTAAAGTGTGTATATTTAGTGTCACCGAAAAATAAGTATATTTCTTAGGGATGAAATTAGAAACTTATTAAACTTTTAAAAAGTTAATGAATTTTAATATTTTTCTATTTTATTTCTAATACAACATGTTGGAAGTAGCTTATGTGAGATCTAAGGGTGATTTTCCCATATTTTTATTAAATAAGGACAAATATAGAAAGATAATACCAATTTAAAGATAATTAATTAATTTATTAAGAGGTATGATTCGTTTAAAAATGTCTTATATTTTTTAATAAAGGGAATAGGTTTTTTTTAAAAAATCTCCCCCTAAAAAAAAACCTTAAGCCAGCCCCTGATGGAAGCAATAATCTCTATAAAATATAGATTCACAGCCAAAATTTTAATCATCAATTTTTTATTATTTAAAATAAATCATATTGTTTAAAATTCGCAACATCAATAGCGCAGGAAAGCAGTGCACAACATATGCCTAGGATCATGTAGGCAAAAGTGGTAATGAACAGAATGAAGGAGACTTGATTTATGAAGACTATGGAAGTGAAAAATAAATAAATAAAAAGAAAATAGACTAAAAAGACACACACCTCAAAGCACAAAATTCCACAATTGTTCCTCCATAGCCCTGCATATATCTGCGAGAAACTATGTTCTTATTCCAAAGAATAACAATTACCACGCTATTCTTGGTTTGACTTTTTTTTTAATATTTTAATTAAATTATTTTGTCATATTATATTTAAATTAATAATAGGAAAAATGACAACGAGGGACTCATAAGAATATTAATAATAATTACAGACCCTAAATTATTAAAATCTTAATAATAGACCATGGTTTCATAATGCATATAATAATGGGAGCATCTACATGCAATTAAATTAATCCACTTGCGGAGACTTGATTAAAGTCTGCCCAGAAATTGCAAGGAAATGCAGTGTTGCTAATTGAGTAATTTCTGTGAATCCTTTCTTTCTTTCTTTTTTAATTTTTTTGGTTAAACTTTCTTTTGTAAAGTATTCAAACCTTGGGGCATCAATATAATGGTATATTGTCATGATAATATATCATTTTTCTTTGTCTATGAGAAGTGAGAACAAAAGGCATGCAAAACATAAATATGATTTTTCTAAAGAATATAAGGTTAAATAACAAATTGATTGTGGAAGTTTTCTATTAGATATACTTGATATCCTTAACTTTTTATTGGCGTTATGTTTTCCCAAAAGTTTTAAATTGATATGGTATAATGTCATCCTATAGTAATGTCCGACAATATTTCACTGTTAGTTTAATCATTATGAGGGGTAATTGGCAATTTTGCCTCAAGTTTTTTTCAAAGAAAAAATTAGTATTTTAAACTTTTGATTGGAACTATATTTTTGAGTTATTAATGTTTAATTTAAAAGAAGAATCCAACAAGAAGTTATAACCCTCCAAAATCTGTGATTTTGGCCTAGGTTAGATTGGAATCTAGGCTAGAAGCATTGCTTTCATTCACTATCCATTATTAATGTCAACCTGCAATCCGTCTTGATCTCCAAAGGCATGTGTCATTGGTGACACCCTTGTGGTGAATGAGTTACAAGAGACGTCTTGAAGAAATTCTCATCGAGCAGTAGGTAAAATCATGTGTAGACAATTTAAAACACATAATTGGATATATCTTGTGTCTGGGCAACCTCATGCAAGACCTCTAGCTAGTAAGAATCTAGAAAAGTGAATTATTTTCTAACATTGTTTATGAATTGTTAGAACCTTCTAAATTAAATATTGATAGCCCAAAAATATTACCCCATTAAAAAAAAAAGATATCAATTTCTCTTTAATAAATATTATAGAGCAAAATTGCCTTTTAACTCTAATCAAAATTGTTCCATTAATAGTCAATGTCAGCAAAACGTTACTATATAATGACATTACATCATTTTTTAAAACTTTCCTGAGAAATATTGCACCAGTCAAAACCTAAGGAAACTTTTTAGGCACAAATTTGCGGTTTACTCCGATAATATATAATTGTACATATCTAGTAAATTGATATGACAATACTGAAGAAACAATACAAAAGTGACTAGCTTCGCAAGAGCAAGAAATCGGAGGAACAAAAATCTTGGAGTATTGTAGGTGTTGAATCCATAGGAAAGCAAGGATCTTGGTTATCTAGAGGGTATTAAACTGATTATTTTTTTTTAAAATAACTAATTAAACTAAACAATTTAAATGCAATTAATATAGAACAAATAGTGGCAGTAACAATGAAAAATATCCCTTCTAATCAACAAACATCAGGGATGCATATGCATTTGATGCTCATCATATGTAGCTCAATCAGAGCATTTCATTCTGAAATGATTTTTTCTGTTCATTTAAATTAATTTTTAATTACTTTTAAATATTGTGTTTATTAATGTAAAAATTATAAAAATTTTCATATTAAATTTTTTAAGTATTTTAATATTTAATTTTGGATTTTTCAAATTGGGCTTTGTGTATTTAGTCTATTTTCCTCTTTATAATTACTCCTTTTCTCTGAAAGTGGCACAAAATATCATTATGAGGTTTTTTTTTTAACCCACAAATATTCTTCTATTAGAATTAATTTTGTTTGAGACACTGTTAGATGCTTAATGTGAGTATCTCTCTTAACAATAATTTAAATCTTAATTTATCACATTGTGATAGGCTAGCCTCTTTTTATTTGACCCAACCCTCTTTGGTTTACTCTTATTTTTGTTTATTCTTTGCCATAGCTAATTAATTTAGGAGGAAAAAAGTTTATAAATTGCAAGCATAAATCCCACTTATCAAAAAGTTATGCAATTAAAATAACATAAAAAAATTTATTTCAGCACAAGTTCTATTTTTATTAGAAGTCATATTAACTTGAAGGCAGTGAAATTCTTAAAAATAGACAATGGTATTGTTTATGGGGACATAAATAATTAAAGGCAAGTACGGGTTGAATTAATTAACGATGATGTATTTTTTCTTTGGTAGAAATTTTCTTCATCGCCATAAGTGTAACTGCTTCTAGAAGTTAGAGTGAGAGCGAACAGTATAATAGACTATTTTGAAGAAAATGACTATGACTAATAATACTCTAACAATACTACAAAATTATATCCTGACGTTTCCAATTTCAAGAAGATAATTTTATTTCAATTATAATACTTATGCATTCACCAAAAGTTAAATTAAAAAAAGGAAAATGACAATAAAATTACGCTGAAACATATAATGATAGTTGAGTTTCCTCAAAATGCTATAATACCACTAAAGTTTATGGATAAAATGACTAAATTATTCCTTATTTAAAACATAAAAAAAATTGCGATTCTATTTTCCTAATTACAATTTTTGTCTAAACAATCACAGCTTTTATTTTAAATTGCAAAAAATAAATAAGAAATTAAAACTTCTCATATGAAATTGTTTTATCATTGAAGTCCTAGTTTTGAGAATAACTAATCATAACTTTTATTTAAGTAATCACAATTTCGATTATGTGAATTATAAAAATTGAATAAAAAATTATAAATTTTCATGTGAAATTTCTTTTATCATTGAAGTTTAAATTTTGAGAATAACTAATTATAACTTTTGTTTAAGTAATTACAACTTTTATTTGTGAATCATAAGAAGTGAAAAAATCACAACTTTTCACATGAAATTTTTTTTATCATTGAATTTTGAAAATAATCAATCATGATTTTGTTCAAACAATCACAACTTTTATTCTGTAAATTACAAGAATTGAATAAGAAATCATAACTTTCCACGTGAACCTTTTATTTTTTTATTTAAAAAAATGGTAATTTAATTATTTAACTTAAAATCATTACTGTTAGAAAGATGCTTAGGGACTTCCAAGAAATTATGGTATTTCAAAGAATCTGATTGTCAGTTATATATGTCGATGGGATTTTATTGTTATTTTTCCATTATAATATACTTAATAGAATATTTTTATAGGAGAATGATAGTTAAATCTCAAGGGGATCAATTAATTTAAATTAAGCCCTAACCAATTTCATAATGCCAATAAAGTCTCTTAGTCTTTCAATGGTAATAAGTCTAATAAGGATTTATCAAAATTTGCAAATTTAGCTCTCAATTTTGTAACTTCATTGTGATATATTTGTAACTTATTTTTTAAATTTTAACAGAGAACAAAAATGTTTATCTTTAATATTGAGAATTATTAAGTCTAATAATTTCAAGAATTTGTAAGTTCAACTTTTTATTTTGCAATTTTGTTGTGATACATTTGCAACTTATTTTCATAATATTAACAAGAAAAACAAATGTTCATATTTAATATTACAAAGTATTAAGTTTGACAGCTCCAATGATTTGCAATTTCAGTCTCAATTTTACAACTTTGTTGTGATAAATTTATAATTTATTTTTTAAATTTTAACAGAGAACATAAATGTTCATATTTAATGTTGAAAAATATTAAGTCTATTGTTTATTCTTTACCTATTACCTATTTACTAATAAAATATATAGATTCTTCATTTTTCCATTGCTTATTATTTATTTTTTAACCTTGTTAAAATTTGAAAAAAAAGTTGTAAATGTATCATAGTAAAATTGCAAAATTGGGAGTTAAAATTGCAAATTTCTTGATATGTTAGACTTATTACCACTAAAGGACCAAACAATTTTATTGGTACTCTAAAATTGATTGGGACTTAACTTAAATTAATTGATCTCTTCAAAACTTAACTATCATTCTCCCTATTCCTATTATAAAAGTAACTAGTATAGTGATAACAACATCGTAAGAAACTATATATGTATAGTCATACCTATATATAGTTTCTAATTGATATACTGATGATAGCCATAATATAACAATAAATATCATGAAGAAAAAATTGATGTGATTTATATATTGAAACAGTAATCTCATAAAATATTTGGGCCAAACTAGCTTGTTTGATCAGAATATATAAAACGAAGGCAATTCTCAAGTTGTTTGATGTAGAGTTTATGTGAATAGAACATTGACGTAAGAAATAATTGATTTTTTTAACAAAAAAAAAAATCTATGTGAAGCTAAATTAGAGAAACTAATACGCGCTTCTGAAATAGTAAAACATTACACTTATGATAAGTATGTATAGAGAGAGGTTCATTTATTTAGTTGTTTAAAAAATAACATACTCTAAGCAGTAACCTCTATAAATAGGTTCATCACAAGCCCCTAACTATATCGACAATTGATAGATTCACTTGCCAAGAGAAAAGAACAATGAGGATGTTCATTGGTTTTTTCAAATTAATACTGTTAGTTATACTAGTGCTTGAGTATGGGGTCCTTGCTCCTAATTCATGGAGAGCTACAAGTATAGAGGTTCAATGCATACAAAGAGAGAGGCAAGCCTTGCTTCAGTTTAAGGATGGCCTTGGGGCGGATAACTCAAGCATTTACACATGGTCTTCATGGAGTGGCCATAAGCACAAGAGAGATTGTTGTCAATGGGAAGGTATCCACTGTAACAACCAAACAGGTCATGTCTTGATGCTTCACCTTGCCGGTGATTTTAATGATCCACCTTTTCAAGGTAAGATCAGTGCATCGTTGATGGAGTTGCAATATTTGATGTATTTAAACCTTAGTTTTAATTATTTTGAAGACAGCTATATCCCTAAATTCTTTGGATCTCTAAGCAACCTAAGGTACCTTGATCTTCGAGGCTGTAATTTATGGAATAGAAATATTCCAAGTCAACTCGAGAATCTCTCACAATTGCAGTATCTTGATCTCTCATCCAATCAACTTGAAGGAGCAATACCTAATCAACTTGCAAACATCTCACGATTGCAACATCTTGATCTCTCATTCAATCAACTTGAAGGAGTAGTGCCCAATCAACTTGGAAATCTCTCACAGTTGCAACATCTTGATCTCTCGTTCAATCAACTTGAAGGAGAAATACCCAGTCAACTTGCAAATCTCTTGCAATTGCAACATCTTGATCTCTCATACAACCAACTTGTAGGAGTGATACCATACCAACTTGGAAGTCTTTCACAACTACAACATGTTGATCTCTTGTGGAATAGTCTTGTAGGAGAAATACCTTATCAATTTGGCAACCTTTCAAACTTGCAAAAGCTTTTTCTTGGAAATGGTGTTGCACTCAAATTTGACCAAAAGAATGGGGGTGGAGGGGAGTGGCTCTCTAATCTCACAAGTTTAACCCATCTTACATTATTCAACATAACCAATCTCAACTATTCTTACAAGTGGTTGCCAATGATTGGAGAGCTACTGAGCTTGAAAGAATTGAGGCTACCTCAAAATGATCTTTCAGATCAGTATATCCTTTCACTATCCTCTTTAAAATTCAATTCCTCTTCTCTTCAAGTGCTTGATCTATCTGGAAATAACTTCATGTCATCTGCAGTATTCCATTGGATCTCAAATATTAGCTCTAATGTTCTTAAGCTGGATCTTGGATTCAACATCTTAAAGGGTCCCATACCACATGAATTTGGTAGAGCCATGAATTCTCTTGTGAATCTAGACCTTACTTTTAATCATCTCAAGGGTGGGCTTAAATCTTTAGGGAATATATGTACCTTACATTCATTATCCCTAGCCTATAACCATTTGAGTGAAGACCTTTTAACAATCCTTCAAACTCTTTTTGGATGTGCTAGATATTCTTTACAAGAGTTGAGCTTAAGGCATAATCAAATCAGTGGCACGCTAGTTAACCTTTCAACATTCACATCTTTAAAGACATTTGACATTTCAAGGAATTTGCTAAATGGGTCAATACCTAAAGATCTTCAATTTTCCTCTTCATTAGAGTCTTTGGATATCCATTCCAACTCTTTGAAAGGTTCTTTCAATGAAATCCATTTTGCTAATACACCTAGCTTAAAAAATTTAGTCCTATCTGGCAACATGTTGGCTTTGAACTTTAGCCATAATTGGGTTCCATTATTTCAATTGCAAGCCATACATATGGGATCTTGTATGGTAGGTCCTAGTTTTCCCAAATGGTTGCAAACTCAAAATATTGTCGTTGAACTTGATATTTCCAATTCTGGAATTATAGCTCCTATCCCAGTATGGTTTTGGCCATTGTTGACACCAAAGCTACGTTACTTGAATATTTCATGCAATAACTTTATTGGTACAATGCCAAATGTTCCCATAAAATTTATTTCTGGCCCTTTTATATCTGTGGCCTCAAATCATTTTGAAGGTGAAATTCCACAATTTCTACGTGATGCAGTTGTCCTTTTTGCATCGAATAATAATTTTTCAGATGCCAACCATTTTTTAAGTACACCAAGGGCAACTAACATGCAAATATTAGATGTTTCTAACAATCAATTATCTGGACAGCTTCCTGATTGTTGGGGTCAATTCAAAAGGTTATCCTTTTTAGACTTAAGTAATAACAATTTTTCAGGAGAATTTCCTACTTCTATTGGATCTCTAAAAGATCTTCACCAACTGATATTGAGAAACAATAAGTTTACTGGAGAATTGCCTATTACCTTGGGGAGTTGCTCATATTTAAGGATTCTAGATGCAGGGGAAAACAATTTCTCAGGACGTATACCTTCATGGATTGGGACTGAATTACATGCTTTAGAAATTTTAATATTGAGAAATAACAACTTCTCTGGAAGTTTGCCACTTCATCTTTGTTATCTGTCAAGAATTCATTTCTTGGATCTCTCATTGAACAATCTTTCAGGAAGAATACTTAGATGCTTCAAAAACTTTACAGAAATGGCTTTAGAAAGCAATTTATATCTTTATGATATTTTATTTGGCATAGGTTATGTGGAGTTTTCATCTGAGACAACTGCAGTGTTGATGTGGAAAGGTCTGGAACGAACCTTTAAGAAAATCACACTTTTAATAGGCATCGATCTTTCAAGTAATCAGCTAACAGGAAGAATTCCAATTGAATTGGGAAATTTAGTTCTAATGGTATCCATGAACTTATCAAGAAATCAATTAAGTGGAGAAATTCCTTCAATTTTTGGACAATTAACATCATTAGATTTTCTTGATTTATCAAGAAATCATTTATATGGTCCAATTCCTTCAAGCCTTACTCAGATTGATCGTCTCTCAGTGTTGGATTTGTCATATAACAACTTGTCTGGAAAAATTCCAATCAGCACACAATTGCAAAGTTTCCATAGTACAAGTTATGAAGGAAATCTCAATCTTTGTGGAAAACCGCTTGAGAAAATATGTCCTGAGGAGGAGAAATCTCAAAAGCCAACTAAATTAAAAGAAGATGAGCATGAATCAATTCTCTCCAAGGAGTTCTATTGGAGCATGTCATTGGGATTTATCACAGGATTCTGGGGGATTTTCGGCTCAATTCTTTTTAGTCGCTCTTGGAGACATGCCTACTTCAAATTTCTAAACAATTTGACAGACACTATGGTTTCTCTAACCATAATAAATATGACTAGATGCAATCGAAGGCTCAAAAGTTACTTGGTAATCAATCATATATGCATCTTTTGTCTTAATTTTCTATTGTGTTTTAAAAAAATACAACTTTTATTTTTCCCTTTCATTTTGTAGGAGAGACTAAGATGAAGAAATCGAAGTTTAAAGTCAGATGGGATGCATGCTATGTTGGATATATGACATGAACCAAATACTAGAGCATGCATGTTGCTAAGCTTTTAAATACTATTTGTTCTGTTCTGTGCTATGTGTTGTGTTATTGTAATATTGCAACTATTACTTATATTTATGTATTTTTTTTCCATTTTGAGTATGTACTTAAGAAGCAAACCTTTTCCTTGGAAAAATGATATTAAAATCTCTTTGAATTATCTAAATGATATTTTAGTTTCTCAAAATGCCATACTTCTCTTGAAATCCTTTGAAACTTTTCTGTCGTTAAAGAATTAATGTAAAAGATCAAATTGCCCTATGAATTTTTGTTAAATTTTTACGATTTTAAGAAGAAAAGTTATTAATATTAGAAAAAAAACTTTTAAATTAGGGGCATGAAGTATCTGTTTTAAGGCTTGAGATTGTTATGTCAATCAAGGACAATTTAGTCTTTTACATCAATTCCTTAATGACAAGAAAGTTCTAAAGAACTTCAAGAAAATTATGACATTTTAAAAAATTAAAATATCATTTAAATCATTTAAAGAAATTTTTTTATCATTTTTCCATTTTCATTTCTCACAAAACGTTGCATTGGAATGAATTCCAACAACTTTTAGGTCCATTAAATGCACTCTCTCTCTTTCTCTATATATATGAAAGATGCTCCTTTTTTTCAAAAAGACAGACAAACCTCTGGGACATCTCCAATCATAAATTCTTTCAAGATATCGCAAAAGGCCAAAAAATTAGAAATTACTTAATAAGATGTAAAAGTACAACCTCAATGAATGATTGATTCCTCTTCCATCATAATATATTTGACAAAACAATGATGGATTTGCTTATCAATAATGCATCATTTCTTTGTTCTAAATGGGTGAGAATAACAACCCTTCATGCCTTGCTTTGTAAAATTTGTTGTTTCGCATACGGACTCCAAACTACTTTGGAAGAAAAAGGACAAGCTAAGAATATATGACGTGTTGTTATTATTTTATAATTTTGTAAAACACTAGAGTGGTATAATTATATATCAATATGTACAGCAAAATCTATAACACAAATTGAACTACCATTAAATCATAGACAACGTAGCTCATGTCTTGTGTAATATGGGGAAAAATTCAAAGTGAAGTAACTAATAAACAAGAATTGTGTTATACACTACTAAAAAAGCCAATATATAGAGCCCTCTTTATAATGATTGTTTAAAGGAGACAGGATTGAGTGTATGAGAATATATAATGGTTTTTCAAAATAACTATGTATAGTCTTTTCATCTATGTAGTAGTTACTAATAATAATCATTATATAGTCTCTTTTTGAAATTTTATTTTACCCTAGATACTATATAATGGTTATTTCAAACTTACTGCTAAATAGTTTTTGGAACTATAAAATAGTTAGTTCAAGTAATTGTTTATATAGACCTTTTTTTCTTGAATTTTTTTATTTTAGAGACTATATAACAATTATTTTAAAATAACTGCTAAATAGTTCATTTTAAAAACTTTTCAAATATCTCTTTTTCCAGTCATTATGTCTTTGAAAACTTTCAAACACTCTTTCCTCTCACAAACCTCTCCCATTCTCCATGAAAACTGCCCCATTGATCTCAAAAATGACTTTCCAACCTATCCCTATCATTCTTCACCTTTGAAACACTGTGGGTTATCTTCTATTGTGCTCTCCATTGTGTTTTCATCATTATTAAAGCCGTGGGGTAATTGAGCACATTTAAGAGTTAGATTACATTGCTTTTAGAATTCTAATTTTTGGGTGTAAGTGGGTTGACAAGAATAATTGTTTGAATGTTGATAATTTTGGGTTGATTAAGGTGAATTTGAATAACGGTATAAAAGTGATCTTTTTATTTTTTTCAACCTAGGCTAAACAAGTTTTCTATGTGCATAATCTTGTAAATAAAGTCTGTTATTTTGTTTAGTAGCAATGGAATTAATGAGGAAAATAGTGGAGAAAGGTGGGAAAATAAAGGCAATAGAATAAATAACAAAGTTGAGGATGATCCATTTGATTGGATAACATTTGATAGTGATGATGATTTTGGTACTAAAGATGATACTTTGTATGTGAGATATGATCACAACAAGGGCATTTGTATACTAAAAAGGGGGAATGTAACATTCTAAAAAAATCTTAACCTCAATTAATCTAGTTAAATGGGATTAAGTTAGTCATTGAGGATGATTGGGTAAATTATTGTGATATGTGATTTAAGATGGCTTAGGTGCCTATTGGATTGTGATTATGGCTTTAGGATTGGGTTCGATGATAATGGTCCACTTAGGCCCTAAAAATTGAAGAAAGCATGTGAAGGAGGTTTTTATGCCATGTGCCACGGTGTATGTGTTGTGTGCCATGATGTAAAGGCCAAAATTAGATAAGGAAGTTCTTTGTGCCATATGCAGCGGTACAAGGAGTGTGTTCTGTGGTCCATGACCTAATTATACAAGAGACAGTGTTCTCTATGCCACATGCCATAAGGCGGCCAATATATACTGCAAGGCAAGGCAAAAAAACTAAGATAGTTAGATGTAAGATAGTCAAACACAAATTAAAGACAGAGACATAAGGAAATAAAGAGAGTTAAGCAAGAGAGAATGGGATCACAAGTAAAACTCTGCTAGGGCATGAATTGGGAAACCATTTGGGAGTTATTTAAAGCTCTTAATATCTATTAATAAGTTCCTTAAGCCTAAATCCTTCTTCCTTTTCCATTTTTCTTAAGTTTTTGAAGTTAGGGTTTGAAGATAAGAGTTGATTCTTAGACCATAGAGGCTATGGGTCTAAACCTATTGACTTAAATACAATTAACTTCAGTTATTTAAGCCATTTAAACCTAGTATTTATGGCTTTGTGGGTTTTGGTGGTTGGGGAGCTATTATATTTTGAAAATTCATCATAAATAAGGTGGTTGGAAGTTGTTAATCAATTAATGGTGATTTGGAAGTTTAATAAAGTTAATGTGAGCTAATAGGAGTTAATGGTAATATGATATTATGTGAGTGTATGACAATGTAGAGTCTTATGATAATTTATGATATGGAGTTCAATGGTATTTTGTAATATGAAAATTTAATGTTTATAGAATGATATGATTAAGATGATACTGTTAAGTATGCCAATAATGTGTATACTTTGCATGCCATGAAATATTGCACTTGTGCATTGTATGATTGTGGGAAGTAGGAGTTTGCCTAGGTAGAGAAGTAGCGAGTTAAAATACATGTAGTATTGTCACCATTCAAAGCTCGATGGCTTGCTTTGATGTAATTGTATAATTTATCCCACTTGTTCGACGAGGAAATGTTCATGATTTATAGAAGGACTTGAAGATAATATAGTTTTCCTTATTCGACGAGGAAGCTACTTTAAGGAGAATGACACCCTATATGGTTGAAAGGCTAGGGAAGTCTTATCATATAAACAAGCCCATGATTTCATGTCAAAGGCATAAGGAGGATATAAAGGAGGTAAGATCATACATATTGTTATTAACGGCACATGGTTGTCTATTTTGTGATCCTTCTAATGAGATTATGTAAATTTATATTGTTAGCCATGTGCAATGTGAAATAAGCCCTGTAAATGATAAATTAATTTATGTGTGAGAAATGTTATGCCACTTGAATTTTGAAATAAATTGACATACGTTAGTATAGGTTTGATGTACATTAGTTATTAAGTAATCATACTTACCCTTTGCTCTTCAGTCTTACAAGTACTAGTTCATTGAGATAAGAATGAGGAAAACAGCCTAAGGCTTAGGATATTCATCCTAAATTTATAGGCCTCATTTATTTTGAGAATTATGTGCATAATTTATCATGATATTGTCAACTAGGAGATTACATTACTTACTTGCACTATTTAAATTTAAACTAAGTTGTGTATTTTGAGCCTAGGTCATATGTGCGTTTAAGGTGATATCTAGAAAGGCTCAAAATTGTAGTGCAAGTAAGGAATGAGTAAATTTGTAATTGATGAGGAATTATATGATACTTAATGCAATTGAGGCTCCCCCTTCTATTTTGATATTAAAGGGTTGAGCATTGAAAACATTGTATATTTGTAAGGTATATGTCAAGGTGTATTGCATAGGTGTCATTTGGTCTATTAAGTGTAATCTAAGGTTAAGGATAGGCTTTTGGTACTTTATTATAAATTGGGCACCTAAGTTATGTGTTTTATTATAAAATGAGTGAATGTGAAAATGAGTATCCCACTTTTGAATAAGAAATAATTTGAATATGAAACCAATTCAATTAGCTAGTGATCAGATAAAGCTTTTTATTAACCCCTAAATCACCTTAATCGGACATAGACTGAAGAATTAGGGCACATTGAAAGTTTGCCTTTATTATTAAAGGATAGCAATAAAAGCAATTATTCTATACAATGTGCCACGACACATGATGCTTATATTGCAGTGCATGGTGTAACGAGCAACATGCTGCAGTGCACAAGGTCATATTCTATAATGTACCTTTTGTTTTTTGCACTAATAATGTTTGGGTTAAAGGGAAAATATACACATAAATAGTCGGCCACCCAGTATCATGAAGTGAGGAAGCGGGTATAAATACCATAACGTTACATGAGTGGGTGCAGAAGTGACCAAACTGTTCACTTTTTCCCAACAGTGTTAGTTTTCAGTGTTAAATGCTGACTGTGCATGCCACACATCAGTCTTTACTGATGTGGATTAAAAAGGGGTAAAAATACCCATGAAATGGTCAGCCATAGGTATAATTATTAATTATAACCATAAAAATGAGAGTAAACTAAAAACACTTTATTCCATTTGGTAAAAGAAGAATGATTTATACATATGAGAATCAAAATAACATACTGATAACTGAAACCATTAAATTTCAAATATATAAATTGATCAAAATTTAGAATGATGAGGACTTAATAGAACAGATAACAAACATCAACACATAGTTCATAAGGATAAATAACCAAACGTGGCTTATGCCACAGAAACAAATGCGAACACACAGTCTATGAGGATAAATAACCAAATACAGCCTGAGCTACAATACAAATGTAGACACACAGTCCATGAGGGTAATGCTAACTAAACAAGGCCTGAAGCCATGAAATCAAATGCAAGTATAATAC